AGGCTTACAGAATATCTCTAGCACATGTGTACTTCTATTTTCTTTGTTCTAAATCTTATATAATTGACCAATGCATGGAGCAAATATTTATTGCATACTACAAACATGCTCTGATCGTGGCCTTGGGTCCCACAGCCTTAACTCATCTCAACACCAGCTCACATTCCACCCCCTAGGTCGTAGGAACCTTAGCCCACAGGACGGAGCATTGTGCCCAAAGACCACAACAACAATACAGAATACAGCATCCTACCAATACACAAACAGCAACAATAGCCAGGACAGTTAGGCTCCATCTCCAGGAGGACGTCAAGGGTGACCAACAATTCTTAAGGGGGTCTTGAGTTACATGATCTATGCGATCCAATTCCTCATCTATTTCATGCAGTGCCTTAACTACTTACTTCTGGTGATCTGGCATATAGATACAACATTCAATATGTAACATAGCACATGTGCCACCCTGGCTTGCAGTGAGAATATCTAATGCCATTCTATTTTGTAAGACTACCTTTCGCATCTGGGTAGTCTCATCTAACAATTCCTCTATAGCTTTTCTAGTAACATTCAGTACAGCAGATATGTGCTGAGCTAAAGCTTCTACCTGCAATTCAACAATGATGGTCCTAGCACCAGGCAGGAACAGGGCCATGGGATAAAACCACCAAGCTGCATGCTTCCCCCGGTGCCACTGTGTGTACAGTGGATCCCAATTTGTGGGGCCCTCTGTTAAAGTGGGCCGGATATGTCCGGGCAAGTAAGTTCTACCCCAAGTACAGCGCCCTGTCCATTTAGCTGGGAGATAAGACCATCCGTAGGTGCGACATACCCACAGATACCCTGGTGGCAGGAAATCAGTGGGCTTTGTGCCAATTAGAGGTCGTCCATCCCACCAGGTGGAGGCATTTACATTATAAGTGATTTTGGCACACAGCTCTTCTGGGAGCCACCCCACTGTGCGGTTTGGAGCCTCATGTTCAAACCGCTGCTCAATACAGAGGGGGCTTAAATTCCTCACGTTCACATGAATACTATTCATCCGTTCCCACCCATTCCATACAGTCCTTCCAGGTGGGGGGGGCATTGCCCCGCTCACGTCGGAATATTTCTTCAATAGTCTGCCGCCGCAAGTCCCAGGGCGATCTCGCTGTCCGGTTGGCATTCTATTGAATCAAGGTGCTCCAATTAGCTCTGGACGCGTGGTGGAGGTGCCACGGCAGTCCATCTCCTGTGTCTACAGGAAGTTCAGTACAGACCCAACAGTGAGAGACGTTGTGGACTCACGCGAATGTGTGTGCCCAGGAGAACTTGGTATTTGCTGTTACCCTGGACGGAAGGACAGGGCAGAGGTGGACAACATGATTGGCAAATCTTTCCCTTCTGGGAGGATGCAAGCCACTTTCTCATCCTGTGAGAGTACAGTGGCAGGAAGGGCTGTTCGCCCTGGGCGGTGTTACCATACCAACCCGCCCACACTAGTTTGATTACACTCTGGGAGAGCTTCAAGAGCTATCAGTGGAATTGCCCAAAGCCGTAGGGCTTCTGCTCCTTTAAGTAGGGACACTCCTGTTTTCCCTAAAGTAACCTGCACATCAAAAGGCCGTTCCCCCACTCGTAGGGTTACCTGCAGGGCTTTCTCTAGCCCATTGCCCCACGGTTCCAAAAGGGCTAGCCAGGGGCCTTCAGTCTGGACCTGATTCTTTCATGTCCAGGTGTCCTGTTTTTCTGAGTTTAACACCCTGGGGGTGCGTAATATTAACGCATGCCCCACTATTGAGACATCGGAGGCATCCTGCACAGGCCCAACTCTGAGCCTCCGAATAGTCCCTTGCAATAACTTTTCCAGTGGGCTCATACCTGTATCTGTTGGGCAGTGAAAGGGGTCCCTCTATCACTTTGTATTTCTAAGGGAGTCCCATAGAAGGCCCTTAAAACTTCCAGTGCTCTAATAGTAGCGTCTTGTGTAGCTCGGGGCACATGGTGAGCAAAACCTAGACCAGTAGCGGTGTCTACCGCTGTCAGCAGGTACCGCAAGCCCGTACTCAGAGCAAAGGGGCCTACGTAATCTATTTGCCATAGCTGCAATGGCTGAATTCCCCGTGCAATCTTCCCCATCTGTTGGGGCCATCGCCGTCGGTGCGGGTGGTGCTTAGCACACCATGGACATTGCCGCACGGCATCTTTGGCTTCACTGTGGCTCAGGTGCAGGCCCCACTGTTCAGCTACCTGCCTTATTGTGTATAAGCCAATGTGACCAAGTTTTTTATAGAGCCAGGGACTTATATTGGGTCCTGGGACCATAGCCTGTACAGGGCGGAGTTGGGCTAGCACGTTAGCAGCATCATTGCCCGGTACCAGGGCTGGGCGGTGCCCTGGTATGTGATAAACAGTATACTGGACTTCTTGGCCTTTGTCCCATAACTGTTTCCACATCTGTTGTCCCCACAGGGGCCGGTGCCCAATCATCCAGTCTTGCAGGGACCATTGGGGTATCCACAATGTAAGGCCTCGATATACAGCCCAACTATCTACAAATCTGCAAGGGGCTAGGTTCATTCATCAATAACAGCCATACTGCCCATAACTCAGCCCATTGGCTGGATTGGGCTTCTCCGGTCTCATACCAGAAGGCTTCAGTGGCAGGGTGCAGTGCTACTGCAATCCAAGTGGGCAGACTGCCCTTACAAGATCCATCAGTATACCAAGCAGTTCCCAGGGGTGGCCCTTTCCCTTCATGAAAGGGACGGGGCACAGGGTCCACCCCTTGTTGTGGGACCGTCTGTACATCAGGTGCAACAAATTTCATAGGCCCTAACACCTGTTGCAACTCTGCAGCCAAGGGGCTAGTGGTGTACTGGGCTCTCTGTTCCAAATAAGCACCCCACTTCGTCAGAGTTGGGGTTTGGGCAGTTCCCGATCGGGGTTGCTTTGCCCATGTCTGCACCCATCCTTCAATGGGGTATGTGGTGCGCACTTGGACCTCTTGCCTCCCCGTCAGGGATTCAGTGGCAATCAAGCATGCATAAGTTGCTAGCAACTGTTTCTCAAAGAATAACGACATTCAGCCCCTTTCCACAACTGAGACCAGAACCCTATGGGCACTTTCCGCTGCCCATGTTTCTGCCATAAGCCCCAGCCATATCCATCATTGTCCACATGGACTGTCAACCAGAAAGGGATGTCTGGATCTATAGTGCTCAGTGCTTGTGCTTGGGCCACTGCCCTTTTAGTTTTAACAAATACACATTCGGTCTCATCACACCAATTCCAGACTTTTCCCTTTTTAATCCGTTTATACAGGGGTTTGGCTATTTGGGCCAAATGAGGAATAAACACCCGCCAGAATCCCAAAAGACCTAAATAAGTCTGTAACTCTTTAACTGTTTTAGGGCAGGAATATGCCTGGATTTTGTCTATTACTGCTTCAGGCAGCACTTTTGTCTTACCCAATCAGACAACACTCAAGAATTTGACAGAATATCCAGGTCCTTGCACTTTGTCCTCGTTTATGGCCCACCCCCAGCCCGCCAGGGCTTCTCACAGCGCTGTGGCACTGGTTTCCAAATCTGAAAGAGAATCAGAGGTTAGCATTATGTCATCAATATAATGGAACAAGTGAATGGTATCTGGTTTGCTCCATGTAGCCAGGTCCTGGGCCACCAGGCCATGACACAGTGTAGGGCTGTGCAGATATCCATGCGGCAACACAACAAATGTCCATTGTCTGCCTTCCCAGGTGAAGGCAAACTGTTCTTGGCTCTCAGGGGCTATGTCTATTGAGAAGAATGCTTTAGCCAGGTCAACCACATATTGACAAGTACCCAGTTCATGGGACAGTTGGTCCATCAAATCTGTTATATTCGTCACAGCTGCATGCATGGGGGGAGTGACTTTATTCAGTTCCCGATAGTCCACTGTCATCCTCCAGGAGCCGTCTGGCTTCCGCACCGGCCATACTGGAGAGTTATATGGGCTATGCGTAGCCCGAATTATACCGGCTTCCTCAAGCTTCAGAATAGTCTGTCCTATTTTCTCATGGCCTCTAGGCAATCGATATTGCCGGACATTCACCATTCGTGTGGCCTGTGGCAAAATCAAAGGTGCATGATGTGGATGCCCCCATATAACTGTTTTCACCACACGGACTCTCAGGCAAAATTCCCCTTGAGTCATCTGTATTTGCAATCCTTGCAAAATGTCTATCCCCAGAATGTATTCAGCTACTGGGGATATATGCACTTCATATGCAGCAGGGAGCAGACGGCCAATGCCCAAAATCAGAGCCACTCGTTTAACACACATTTATTTGTTTCCATATTCTTCTATATCAACCCATGGTCCCTGAAAATGCTCCGGATTTCCATGCACCAATGTAATTTCAGCTCCTGTGTCTACTAGTGCCAGCACTCGCTGTTTATTCATGGGCGACCAGTGAATAGTCAGCTCAACATGTGGCCTCCAGTCATCGGGGTGCCCCAAGTCCCGAACACCTTGGCCTTCCTCCTAGTCTGGGAGGAAATCAGCAAAGGCCACCTCTTGGGCCTGATGGGAGGTTGGCAATGGAGTATATTGTTGCTCAGGCCGTAATTTCTTCCGTAAGGCCATCAGCACCTCCAACAGCTGGCCATCTAATTTTACACGGTCCAGGCCAGCTGCCAGTAAATCACACCATATCTGCCGGTGATCTAGCTTTTGGGGCCCTCCTAAAATTGGAGCACTCCCCTTTTTCCTCCTTGGTGTGGACTTCACTTTCTGTGTCACTGCACGGGAGGAGGGGGTCTTGGACTCACCTTGAGTCTTGGCAGCACGTACCCTCTTTCGGCCCACCTCTATGTCCCACAGATGAACCAGAGCCTCAGTTACTTCATGAATGGGGCGGTCTACATACAGTGCTAGTAGTGCCGCCATAGTCCAAAACGTTCACGTTGGGCCATTACCCAAAATCAAATCTTTCATTCGAGCTGTAAGGAGCTCATCATCTGGACTACGGAAATGCAAAGAAAACATCATGTGACGCATGCCCATTTCCCGGATAACTAGCGCCAAGTCCAAATACGTGGTCCATTTACTCGTATGTCACTCGCCATGGTCCCGCAGGAGTTCCTTCCTGAGCCATGGGCTCCTCCATTTCCATCTGCTGCCTCACCACTGGCCGTAGACGCAGTGGAATGGGGGGAGTGGTCGGGCTTACCGCTCCCAGGGGCGGTGGAACCGGAGCTACACAGGCATAGCTGCTCTCAGAGGCAGTAGAGCTAGGACCACACAGACATCTTTCTGCTGTGCTGGGTCTCTGCTTAAGCGCCTCTTCTTTGCACTGCAACTCCTCCACTTGCATCCGTAAATCTCTCATGTCTTGGCTAGCATGCCGAAAAACAGATAAGATCATCCAGGCCACCCTCCCGGCTGCCTCTCGGTGGACTAAAGGGACAATATTTTCTAACAGCTCCAATGCCCTCCGGACATCATATGGCTGGGGCACCACTGTGTCCCAATCCTCAGGTTAAGCCCACGTCAGCAAATAGTCTGCCACCGGGTACCATACAGAGGTAGGGGGCCACTTTGCTTCCATCAGAGCATCCCCGTCAGGGGCAGGGGTTCAGAAGGGGCACTCACCTCATCCTGCCGACTACGCCAAGTGTCAGCCGAGGGAGGCTGATGTGGGGTTCTAGGAGGTGAGCGGCCCAAATGAAAAAAATGCACAAGGAGTTGCCATACTGCTGGACAGACTTCAGCCAGAGACACCATGGGGTTAACAACACTTTATTGCCACAGGGAGGTGGGC